TTCTTCCTCTGCTTTGGGTAGTTGAGAAAATAGTATAAAAGCTGCCAAAATTTGGTGGCCAGATGAAGCAAAAAATTAGTTTACGTTGGAAGAATTGAAGCAGAGCACACGCACGCACCCTACCACCGGTCCCGATCCAGCGAGCTGGTCTCGTGCTGGCTGGGTAGGACGTTGCTCAAAAGGTTAGGCCGGGTGGTCGACCATGTGGTGCTGACGGAGACGATATACAGATGGATCCACATGCAGTCCCCATGCGGATGCGGTTCTTCAATTCGATCGGTGCTTTCTCTGTGGTACCTATCCTTGTCTTGCCTTTCTCAAACTTGAAAGCACGTAGCAGTAGCAAATGTATATATGTATTGGCTGCATAACATTCGTGGTGCTTTATTAATTTGTTACATACGGTGGTGGAAAAGCACCACGCATCAGTACTTTTAGGTACTTTATTTACGTTTTTATAAGTGTTTTTATTGAATTTACAGAGTTACGCCAATGTCAGTGACCAGGTCAATGCAGGCAGAGCGATGACGGGTCGTCGTTGACTTCCGCCCCGAAGTCACGCCCCAGCAGGTCTCGTGCCCATAGATGGCCAACGGGGTGGCCCAGCCCGGCACGGCACGGGCCGGTAGCCAACGGGCCGGCATGGCACGTCGTGCCTCCCGGGCCGTGCCTCACAGGGCCATGGGCCTAGCCTTCGGCCCAGGCACGGCCCTATGGGCTGATTTTCGTGCCGGGCCGGCCCGAGAAGCACGGCCATTTTCACAGGCCGTGCCAGCCCGAGGCCCACTGAGCGGCCGCGTGGGGAGGCGAGGAGGAGGTGGTCGCTGGGGTTGGGAGCGGCGGAGCTCGGGGGCAGGAGCTGCGCAGGCGGCGCCCTCCCTCAAGCGATGGAGAGGAGGAGATGAAGAGGGGGTGAGCGAGATGGAGAGGAGAGAAAACAAGGAAGGGAGGGAGTCGCCGGATCTGCTCGTCGCGCGTCGCCGAGGGAGAGTGAGGGAGGGAGGGTGGCAGGGACGGGGAGGAGGCGTCGCGCCAGCGTCGAGGCAAGGGTGGGGAGCCGGATCCACAGTGGAGAAGACCCAGCGTGGGCAGATCCATGGCGGAGATCCAGCACCGCCGCGGAGGCGAGGGATGGTGAGGAGGACGACGGGCGTCGCAAATCTGGTGGAGGCGGGATCGAGGAAGGAGGTAGCGCGAGGCCGGAGATGGCAGTGGTCGCCGCCCGCCGGCGAGCTTGTCTTGGCACCGGATCTGTGTCGGGGCGGAGCTCGGGGCCGGCGCGCTCGCTCCCGTAGTGGCGTCGCTCGAGGAGAGGGAGGGGCAGGGGGCGTCGGCGCTGCGAGGAGAGGAGAGGTCACGCGAGGGAGGGAGGGCGTCCATGGCCGCCGCGCTTAGGTTTCGGGTGAGGCGTGAGGAGAGCCATGGGACGTGCCCGCTTATGTATGAGGGGGGAGGCGGGCCAGGGACGGCAGGGAGCGCGTGGGCCGCGCTGGGCCATGGGGAGGGGAGGAGGAGTGAGGAGGGGGAGGGGGGAGGCCGGGCCGCCAGCGGGCCTGCGGTACAGGAGCGGGCGGTGCCGTGCCGGCCCACGTGCCTGGGGTAAGGCCCAGGCACAGCCTGCTCCTCCGGGCCATGCCAGCCCGGGCCCGCTCGTCGCCGGGCCGGGCCGGGCCAAAAAACGGGCCGACGGGCTCGGGCTGCATGGCCATATATACTCGTGCCAAGCTGAGATCCACCGTCCACGCAATCTAAATCTCTCTAGCGCTCGCTCAGCGTGGTTGGGTGGTGCATGCAGGGTGGTCACCTCAGCGTGGTCGCGTGCAGCGGTGGGATTTCGAACACACAGTGGAACGGCGGCGGCGTTTTGTTTCGTAAGAGCAGAGACTCGGAGCAATTGCCAAAATACCTTTAAGTAATAACTTCGTAAATTTAAGAGGAGGCAAGAAGGTAAACAATTTTGTGATCGCCGGCCTGAACATTATTAGCTGATCGAAGCTCATTATTAGAGACAAAAATGAAGGCTAAACTTGAATTTGCTTGCAAGGAGGACGGATGAGATAGGGATGACATACAATAGATTTATAAGACATGATGAAATATAGCCATGATATATAGCTACATAAAGTTTGTGGAATAGTTTTTAAAGGAAATAAGAAAAAACCAAATATATTTTCTACTGCTCATGTAGAAAGGACCATCACAATCACAATAAAAAAAGAGGAAAGGGCCATTTTAAAGGAAGAAAAAGCCAAATATATTATGAGAAAAAAAAACTCGCGTTATTTGCGCATACCATCTTGCTAGTTTTCTTCGGCGTGGCCCACGGTGGCTGTAGCTAATTGAATGATGCAAAATTACCTAGTGAGCCTTTATATTTTCTAAAAAAACAAAAATAAAATACTTGAAAAGTATGGGTCTAGGTTCTACCTATTCTGGCAGTTTGTACTTAAAATCACTTTCTAGATCTTATGATCTTGTGGCAATTAATTATAAAACATCTTAGAAGCGACTTCCTGTCAGAGATCGATTTTTTTAACCATGCAGTCCAAGTGTTATATATATAAAATTGAGCGAGTAAAGGCTCAATAGCCGAGAGAGATGGTGGAGTCAAATTTTGCAAGGTCAACAATGCAGTCACCTATAACATTAATAAAATCGTGGAACTTAGGTACTGTGTATAATTTGAATTGTCCACATCATGACCCAAACTTGTACTCCTACGCTACGTAGGAGTATTGGTGTGCATCGCAGTCGCAGCAACGCTACTGCGTGCACCATACATACGCGACGAGCATTCTAAGGTCCGAGTATTTAATTTTACGCCGGGCCAAAGCGAGCTGAGATTGACAGGGAGTTAAGACTGGCTGCACCTTTGGCGATCGAGAGTGACACTCTCATGGAAGTAGGGGGGAGTAGCCCTAGCCCCGAGCGTTAGCTTAACTAACGTCCGGCCGACCAATGCAACGCAACCCGGCATGCAGTGGCAAGAAGAATCTCAGTGAGTGTCGCGCTTACATACATTAATTAACATCGTAGTGACGCTTGCTTGATTGCGACGTTAATATTATATATATGGCGCAAAGTCAATGGCGTTACCATAGTTATCATTTTGATTAAGGAAAGTAGCCTCCTGACGAACAAGTATGAAATTGGCCTGGGTAGAGTAAATAAGGGCCGGTGTGAGTGAGGTATGCCAGATCGTCACTCCTTACGTGTGCATGATTAACATTTTTCTTAACAGAAAATTAATTGTCCTACAAAACAATGCACGACACTGTTCCAGAAATAGTTAAAATAGTTATTGGACCAATTAAAATAGTTAAACGAAGTAAATTGAACTAATTGATAGTTTGCTGATATTATATGCTAAACTTGAGAGTAAGTAATTTGGACTCTCTCTTTAAAAAAAAAACAAACGAATTTGGACGCGTCTAATACTACTGCTACTACTAGAGTACATATAATATAATTTAATTTGTTCGACTTTCTAATCTTTCTGATGATTGCCTACTATACCTGATCCGTGGCATGAGCTAGCCAGGCCAGCAATCCGCCACAGTCTTTCTGATCATTGGCCGGGTGTGCATGAACCATCTTTTTACAGACCGATCGCTCAGCTCGGATTATTGGGGTTCATGTGCTCTCACCAACTTTCCAGCTTCCAACCTTCTCCTGTCTACCCTGCTGCATCACGCATATTTCCATATTTATTTCAGTGGGACAACTGCCTATCCTAGTACAATGGAATAAACAGTCCCAGTGTCAGAGTATATTACTACTGGTTGCTTGGTATGAACAGAACAGCCAGCCATTTTAGCTTCTCTATTTACTAGTAGTTGAGTTCCAATGTTACAGTGGCATAATAACATTTGGTAGTTTCATACAAAAAACTATAAGATGAAAGGAGAAAGACTATTAGGGGGACACATGCAATTTTGTTGAAGTTTCTGCATTATTTTTTATGATACCATACATGCCATATATATAATAATGTGTAAATGTTGCCGGCACGGCAAATACCAGCCCAGATGTGTTAACATACTGTACGGACAGTGCTGTAGATTATTTACAGCAAACATACATTCTTTAGATATTGAGATAAGGTTCCAGCCAATACCGTCAGGGAATGTTATGGGCAAAAAAAAATTGTACGCAACAACCTCCTTTTTTTCTGTGACGCGTGACACGAAACCAAAAAAAAAAACACATCATCAGTCTCGTCTTTATTAAGATAAGACGTGCATTCATTCTAAGAGTAAGCCATCATAATGTCAACATGTGATGACGTGTAAGCCATCTAAGAGTAACCACATCATCTAAGAATAAGTCATCATAACGACCAACAATTTTTAGAGCCCATGGTTTAAAATTTAGTTGGCTAAACTTTAGACGACATTTTATGATCCAACAGTACCTGAGCCTTGTACTCTTATACGGGCAAAGAGGAGCTAGAGAATAGCTCAGAGATTCTCGTAGCTTTGTTAGAGGAAAAAGAAAAGAGGAAGGAGAAAACAATCCCATTTCTGACTTTGGAGAATTTGTGACGAAAAAGAATCTGTGCACTCTAATTTTAACGCTAATAATGCAACCCACGTTTTGCGTCCTTTCTTCAGCTCGGATTGAACCACTGAATCCTCCGATGGACCCTCGGTTTTGTCCTCCACGCAATGCGAAATTCGAACAATGGAATGCTGCCGTGCCGTCGTCCCCTCTCTAAACGATAATGACTGGTTAATCTTTATGTGCTCCCGGGAAACCTTGACCGGGTTTCCGGAAGAACCACAACTGCCGGTCCATGGAAGGAAAGGAAGCAGCAGCTGACAGAGTGGCGAAGCCCACCTACCCAAAACAAGAAGAAGAAAATTGCCCCAAACCCCCCACACACCACGTCGCGTACTGAAAGTAGTTGGCCTTGGCGCGCTGATTCAGCGCAGAATTCGCACTCCACGCGCCAACCCAGCTCATCCCTCCCCCATCTGATCCTCTCCTCTCCCGCCGCCATGACCATGCCGCCGTCGCCGCCGGCGGAGGACGAGTCGGCGGGGGACCACCCGGGCGTCGCGGAGTGCCTGCGGCTGCTGGACGCGGTGCCCGCCGCGGCGGCCTCCTCCCCGGCGTTCCGCCGCCACTGGCCGTCCATCTCCGCGTCGCTCGCCGCGCTGTTGGCGTCCCTCGCCAGCCCGGCCTTCCCGCCCGCCGCTCCGCTCCTGGCCCCGCTCGCCGCCGCGCTCCGCGCGCTGCTCTCCGTGTCCGCCGCGGGGGACGCGCACGCGCCCAGGCTCGGCCACCTCCACACCGTCTCGCTGCTCTCCTCCACCGCCGCCGAGCTCTCCCAGCTCGCCGCCGACGCGCGCCTCCTCGCCTCCGCGCCCGCGCCGGCCCACTCCTCCGCCGCCGCCGCCGCCGCCGCCGCCTCCGGTTCCGCCGCGGAAGACGCGCTCGTCTCCCGGCTCCGCCTGGGGTCCGCGGCCTCCCGCGCCGCCGCGCTGGAGGAGCTAGCGACCACCGCCACCACTCTGCCAGCGCCATCCGCGGCCGCGGCCGTCTCCGCGGTGGCGGCGCTGCTCGACTCCGCCGCCGCCGGCGGCGGAGGCGACCTCCGCGAGCGCGCCGTGGCCGCGCTGGCCGCCCTCGCGGTCTCCGACGCCGCGCGCCCTGCCCTCGCGCAGGAGGCCGGCGCCGTGGTGCCGCACCTGTGCCGCGCGCTGGAGTCCGGGTCCGCCGCCGAGCACGCGTGCGCGGCGCTGCTCCCGCTGACGGCGTCGTCGCGGGACGCGGCGGCAGCCGTGGCCGCGCGCGGCGGGGTGGCGGCGCTCCTGTCCGCCTGCGCCGGCGGGACACCCGCGGCGCAGGCGGCAGCGGCCGGGGTGCTCCGCAACCTCGCGGCCTTCCCGGACCTCCTGCCGGCGTTCCGCGACGAGGGCGGCGCGGTGCCGCTGCTGCTCCTGCAGCTGGTCTCCCTGGGCACGCCGCGCGCGCAGGAGCAGGCGCTCGGGTGCCTGCAGCGCCTCACCGCGGGGGACGGCGACGAGGCGCAGCGGCTCAAGGTGGACGTCTTCCAGGCGGGCGCGCTGGCGTGCGTCAGGGACTTCCTCGACGGCGGCAGCAGCAGCAGCGGCGACGAGCCGCCGGGGCTGGCACCCGCGCTGGGGCTCCTCCGCAACATGGCCTCGTTCCGTTACATCGCCGAGATTGCCGCCGCGTCCGGCTCCGGCGGCGGCGGCAGCTTCGTGGCGCACGTGGCCGCCGCGCTCGGCAGCGACCGGTCCGCCACGCGCACGGAGGCCGCGCTGGCGCTCGCGGAGCTCTGCGGCAACGCAGGAGGTGGCAGGATAGGCAAGGCCGCGCGGCGGCAGCAGCAGCAGCAGCACTACGAGGCCATCGTCGCGGACGCCGCCGTCCCGCGGCTGGTGTGGATGCTGGAGGCGAAGGCCGCGGGCGAGCGCGACGCCGCGGCGCGCGCGCTGGCGGCGGTCCTGGCCGCGTCGAGCGCGTGCCGCAAGGCGTTCCGGAAGGACGAGCGCGGCGTGGTGAACGCGGTGCAGCTGCTTGGGGACCCGTCCGGGTCTGGCGTGGAGGAGAGGCGGTTCCCCGTGTGGGTGCTGCTGGCGGTGGCGCAGTCCCGGCGGTGCCGGAAGCAGATGGTGGCCGCGGGCGCGTGCGGGTTCCTGCAGGGCCTGGTGACCGCCGAGGTGGAGGGCGCCAAGCGCCTCGCCGAGTGCCTAGGCAAGGGCAAGATGCTGGGCGTGTTCCCGCGGACGTGACGCTGGTGACGGCGTGGTCTGTTCCTCGGTGTTCCTCTAGAGCTGCTGCTCCGGCTGCTGCCTCAGTTCAACTGTATGTATGTGCAGCTACTGCTGCTACTTCTACTGCTATAACCGAATCTGATTCCCCCTGCCCCGGTTCACCTTGTGCTTCTGCTTCTTTGTGTGATGAACTGATGATGACGGTGGTGATGGTGATGATCTTGTACATGTCGGCGTGCGTGCTGCTGTTGGATAGCTTCTTAGGTTGCTCTGCTTTGGTAGATTATTACGAGTGTTGATGCTGGAAACAATAAGAAGATGGAAACATTCTTGTATGTAGTAGTAATATGAATGATTTCAGATTCAGTTTTCTGACCGACTCATATGTGTCCTGTTCGTTAGGCTTATAAGCCATGACTGTTGGTTGATTTGTCGTGAAAGAAAAATACCGACTTAAGCCAAGCGAATAGGGCAACGGTGTGCATGTACTGTTCACTGCTCGTCTTCTCCGTATCGAATTCGAAGCAGCTTCAGTTGCCTACTGGCTAGTGATCTGAAGAAACAAATACTATGCATCTACCACTGTTTGATACTAACAATTTGGCAGTTGGTTTGTTCTCCTGTTTCATCAGGGTGTCAAATCAAATCATGCGAGGTACTAGTAGTAGAAGTAGTTGTAGCTTTGATTCGGCCAACGATTTCTCCAGGCTGCAGAGGCTATGGCATCCGGTGTCACTGTCGCGGCGACGTGCCGATGTTCATGGAGCTGACCGCACCGCGCCGATAATTGCGGATCAGAATGAGTGGGCAGCAGTAGTGGTTATGGTTAGCGTTTGCCTCCTCGTCTTGACGGTGGTCAGGTCAGCACTCACCACTGCACTGTTCAGCAGGCAGCGGCCAAGAGAGGCCTGCACCGTTGCTTGGGAGGGCAAGGGCACACAGCACAGGTCCCGACGGCCGGGGCCATTGTGCCTTGCCGCATGAATGAAAAGGAGTCGAGGTTGTACGACTGGTAAAGTAGAGGTTGGTGAAGCCATACAATGGAGTAGTACTCCGTACTAGTACTGGCTTTCTGCAGGCCGGGGTCTTGAATACGCGTCCCCTCCACAATTTTAGGTCTGAATCTGGACACAACTTGCTGTGCTCGTGCGTTGACGGACCACCTTGTCGGTGAAGCTGTTACCGTAACCGCCGCTGTTAGCTCTGCTAAAGGTCCATCCATCCATTGCTAAACCTGTATGGGATGGGACTGGAGCGAACCCACTACTAACTGCTACTAGTACCATGTGCTAGCAACAGCCCATTCCCATGACGGTGATCCATCCGTCTAGGCAGGCGAGGCGAGCGGCGTTCAATCATGCAGGGGATCATGGCATCAGGGAGCGACATCATGCATGCCCTTCCCTTCATTTCATTTCATATATCGTGATGGGTTCTGTTCTCGGCTGTCACTTGTCAGCTCCGGAGGACCGTAGACGTGGCGGTCGCTACCAAGTGCTGTAGCTCTGTCTGTAGCGGCGGCGGCTCATGCTCTGCACCGCAAGGCAACCGCTGCAGCAGTTTCAATGCGCATCCGTGCCTCGTCATGGGCCTGTATCTGGGCTCCTGCTCCAACATGTGTGCCGGGGTCGCCATTTCTGTTGTACTCCTACTAGGCAGGGGAAATGGCCCAACAAGGGAGAGAAAACAAAATAAACTCTACAAACCTTCCCCCATCCATCTCTATTAGCCTACTCTGCCGCATCAAACGTCTATAAATAATAGTCTAGGTTTGGAAAATCAATCGCGCTGCGCGCGACACGGTGCATCGTCTTCTTCCTTGCGACCCCGCCACGTCGTCTTCAACCTCTGTTAGGGAATCTATGCCCGGCGGGCTTAGAAGGGGGGGGGCTTAGGGGGCGGCCAGACCAGCGTGGTGGCGGGTTGACGGACGGCAAGCGAGGCGGCAGGGGCAACTGGATGGGCGGAGCGGACGGTAGGGGCGAGATGCTTGAGCTCTGGCTCCTCCGGAAAGGGGAGGTCGGGCTAGAGTAGCAGGATGGGTGGTGGACGGCGCGGCCAGTGGTGAGGGAGCGGCTGGCTGGAGGCAGCGATGGAGGCTAGGGGAGCGAGCACACTTGAGCGGCAAAGGTCCGGACGAAGTTAGGAGAGGGTGGGGTTGATGGATGGGGGCGGGAGGTGGGTGGCGCGGCCAGCGGCGAGGCATCCAATGGCCAGGGGCGGCGGGCGAGAAAGGTGGGCGTGGGTGCACGAGGAGGAAGACGAAAAGGAGCTGGGGTCGCGCGCTCCCCTATTATGTGACTGGTTACATGATATCTGCCTCCTTCTAGGTTCACTCATAAAAAGTTCATTCTTGGAATATCGAACGCATAATAAAATTTTGAGGTACGGAAACGGCAGTGCTAGCGCCCGAACGGACGCCCGTGTGCTGCACTCCGTTTCACATGCTCCACGCGGGGCCCGCACCGCCTGAGCGACAAGAGGGGAAGGGGGTAGCGCCTCCAATTCAGATGGACCTAGCCGCATCATCATATGGATGCCATGCCGGCGCCGGGAGGATGACACACTTAAACGATGCAGCAGAAGGCGAGGAGAGGCAACACTCGATCTGCTTTCGAAACATCCAAATACAACAGTTGCAACATGCATCTAAAGTCAGATGAAACACTTGAAAAAAACACACCAGAAAACAATTGAAAACCACTGCAACCATACGCAACATCCAGATAAATCACAAGCAACGTATATGTGAAACATATGCAACATCCAGATAAAAGCACTTGCAACATGCGTCCGTACAACACAGATAAAACATTGGTAACAAACCTTTGCAACATACGTGTACAACCATTGCAACATATGCAACATCCCGGTCTACTTTTGCAACATGCATCTAAAACACTTGCAACATACCTTTGAACATTTGAAACACTCGAAACATACGCTTGCAACATATGCTTTTAGCAAAACATGGCAGTCAGGCGGGCGGAGCACAGCACATCGGGATCCTGGCTATGCGGCCGCAGTGGAGAAGGAGGATGGCACGCGGGCGGCTGTACGGCCCTTGGCAATAGGGCACACACGGTGCCCGTGGTGGAGGCGACAGCAACAGTCAGGTGGTGCAGCATCGTGCGGTGAGCACGCGCCCGTGGCCAATCTTGATCTCGGCGGCGATGGAGAGGAAGGCGGCGGGGCGGCGCGGTAGAGAGGGAGGCGTCACGGGAGCCACGGTGGAGCCGATCACAGAGCGGAGGTGACTGGAGGGAGCGGATAGCAACAACAACTTCTGGACGTCAGGTGCCGTATGTGGGAAAAGCATGTCAAAGTTATGCTCCGGGCCGGCTAAACGAAACCCATAGTTTGGCCGGGGCCTACCGTACTTACCGAGTTCAGACTTTCGCTTTCCTCAATAAAAAATATTAAAGCTTTCCAAAAAAAAAACTGTCAGCTTTCGGCTGGGCTTTTCTTAATGGGCTTTCGTATCTTGGGCTTCATCAACAAAGCTTGTCCCCGCTTCATCTGGACCACCACCGTTATTGGGCACTTGGACGGAGTTGGACCTATCAGCACAAACTAGCAACGCGCTTTTGCCTCCCCACAAAAGAAAATAAATATATTAAACACACACACACCAGTGCCGTCTGAGAATTTGGAGACATCGAGCAAAATTAAATGGGACCTGAATAAGTGTCAAATTAAAATAATAACGATGCTAAATCTTACTGTATTGTATAAAAAAATACTCCATTTGTTCTAAATTATAAGACGTTTTGATTTGTTTAGATACGTAGTTTTTGCTATCCAACACTATGTCTACATATATAGCAAAAAGTAATATATCTAGAATAGCCAAAATATCTTATAATTTGGAACGGAGAGGTTAGAACAGTATGGGTTCACGGAGGACGAATGATCGTCAATTACAACTAGACCATTCCTTCATAAAAGAATTACAATTAGACCTCAAGTGCCTATTTCCTTGATGCATTTGCCAAGAGCCGAGAAGCACGACACACAGACGTAGAAACTATCAATCGCCACAATACACTGTATTAGACTTTGCTTGGAGCTGTTAGGCTTTACGGATGGATGAGACAAAGTCTAGTACATAACATATACTTATAGTGCACTTATATTATCATGGGTCACCTGGTATTTCGAGGTATCAAACAGTCCCACAACCTGCTCGGCCTAAGGACGCCTCTCACACACACTACTACATAAAAGATTTGTAGTAGGGACTGAGAAGTCTCTAGGCTGGCCAACCGCCTCTACGTCTCCGTCTCTATAAATTAGCGATTTCTTAGGGCGGTTTGTGTTTTCAGCCACATCTACAAATCAACTTTGTAGATATGGCTCTCACCTCAGCCACCTCTACAAATTGTTTTTTAAAAATTATAAATTGGGCATAAAAATAACAACTTTTTTTAAAATTTGGGGAAGTCACAAGTCACATGCATGATTTTTTGTGCAAAATATGCACATGTGCGGTTGCCATCTTGCCGGGGATCAAAAATCACAACTTCAGGCCTCACGTGTTACTTCCCTTACCACAAAACCTCAAATTCAGCTATCATTGAATAGTAGGTACATTCCTTTTGTATTCACTATACTGAATATTGTAATGCATATTTGAGATCGTAAATAAATTTAAATGAAAAAGGTCTGAAATGGAAAGTTGTAGATATAGTTGAGTACTACAACTCTGGTTTTGGTTATTTGTCCATTTGAGGTCATTTAAAACATTTGAATTTAAAATATGATAACTTCAAATACAATTTCCTTGGATAAATGGTTTCAAACGAAAAAGTTGACAAGTAAAAAATTGCATAGCTTTTCGAAATATACCACATTGGTTTTTTGTAATTTCTTCGTCTAAGGTCGTTTGGAAATTTTGAATTTCAAAATGGGAGGACTTAAAACTAAATTTTGGGACTGTAGATTATTTCAAATAAAAAAGTTATCAACTGCAATGTTTTAAATCTTTTAGAGATCGATCTATAGCTTTGGTTTTTGTT